GCTCCGGCCACGTGGAGCCCCATCTGTCCCGGTTCCCGATCGAACCGGGACTAAAGGTGTAGGGCTTTAGTTACGACCTTTTAGTCGCGGTTCGCGAACCTGGACAATGGCCCTCACGAACCGGTTCGAATTTATGTAGGTTAAAAAGTGTTTACTAGTTTTTAGTGTTGGTGGAATTTTCAAATGTGTTTGAGCAATTTGAAAATGTTCATGTAACTAAAAAATCACTATTTTGTAGATATTCACACAATTTTCAGAAGTGTTCATGCATTATTACAAATTGCTTTTTCTAATTTTGAAAGGTGTTCATGCATTTAATAAAAATGTTCAACTAACTTCACTATTTTAAAAAGTGTTGTTACCACTGTAACCTAGTTCGAACGATGAAAATTATTTGAAGGCTCGCCTGTAAATAGAAGCTTCAACGCACTCTCTATTTCGCAGGACAAGAAAGAACGAATCAAAGACATGGATATCCCTAGAAGAATTGCAATCATTCCTTTAAATAATTCTATATCATTTTCAAATTATCTGAACTAGGAAAAACATTAGGAACTTATTATACTGAAAGAGAAAAAGGAAACAAAATTTCCCGCCAGTGTTATAGAAAACAATAGGAAAAACTAGAGGAATGGATGTTTATTTTTTATTATACTGAAAAGGAAACAAAATGGATAACTTGAAAAATAAAAATAAAGAATGAAAGAGAAAAAGAAAAAATAAACATGGAACTTATTCATACCAAAGATCTTCGTAATCTTCAACCATTATGTGCTTCATTATAATTTCCCGGAGTAAGCTTTGTAGTTTGTTTCCAATACTCAATAGGTTGTTCAAACAAAGCTTCCACAATTTCCGAACCGGCCTACAGGATGGCATGTTCTCCTAGGTCGGACTAGGTAGTTCCTTCCTTTAGAATCTTACTTGAGAGTGTCCTGCCTCATACGTCCTAGAAATTGATATCTTAGTTTCCCTATCTTAACTGAATTAGATTTATCAAAGGGGAGGAACTGCTTATTCATACCTCGAACAGGTCAGAAATTGTCTGTCTGGTTTTCAAAGGTGTTCTTGCATTTTAATAAAAAACGTTCATGTATCCTAAATGTATTCAATATTTAGAAAAATTATTAATCCTTTACAACAGTTTAAATAATCAAAATTATTTGAACATGTTTCTATTTTATTAAACTGCAAAGGAAAGAAAACAAACAAACAAAAAAAAGGAAGAATGAACAAAAGGAAACAAGAAAATCCCGCAATTTAGAAAGAGGTAAAGGCAATGAAGAAAGGCGCTAAGAACAACTACTATTTGATTATATATTATGTGGTTTTTTAATTTTATCTACACACGTCTACCATTTGATGTTTCGTCCTTACGACTATGCCCTCTCTAGGGTTAGAAAGATGTGGTAAGCGAAGGATAGCTACCACTAGAGTTGGGAAGGTCATTGTTGGGGTAGTATCTCATGACGAAGGAGCGCGGTAACTAGTCAGTCCACCAGCCAAACATAGGGGGAGAAGGGGATACACGAGGTTGGGAACGGCGATGTAAGATGAAAGGGTGGAGACCTATGCCAAGAAAAAACTAATCAACACTATTAATTTAATTATTTTCCAGGAAATTGATTAAGGTCCCCTAAAAGAGTCAAGTGATTCAGATTGACCCATATTAGTGATACTCACATTTTGATAAAAAAAAATTGTCTATTCAATCTTCACTGAACAAACCGCGTGAGATCTAGCCTCCCAGATTTCAGATTTGATTTACCAGACAAGCATGTTATTTATGTTTTCTACCTTTATTAGACATTCTGAATCATCTTCTCGCTTTTAATTTTGGACCAGTTAACACTAGGATGTACATTAGAGGAACAAAAGTAGTGCACTAGGTGAATGTTTCTATTCATCGTGCACCGCTTTGACATAGGTGTCAAGTAGCATCAGATATCTAGATGTCACTCTGTCGGTCTCCAGTCCCACTTTAAAACTATGATGATCTCGGTACATAAGACTGTGCACCTAAAGCCACAACATTTTCTGCTCCACCATTGTTTGGCATGAACTACTTTACTTTGCCCCAATCTGGAACTTTTTTTCCTTCAGATCTAGAATCGGTCGTCGATATGCACGTCATGGTTCCTTGGTTCCGGACAGAGCATGTTCACCTCCGTACTTCATGAAGCCGCTTCCATTTCATCCTCAAGTAAGGTTTGAGCTCCCGAGGGGACATGTCAGTGTGCCTTGATCCATGATTGAGGTGGGAGCTTCATGATCGAAACGGATCCTTTGTTTCCCCTCTTTCTTGCTTGGTATAGCTCATGTCTTTCGTTTTCCCAACATGCACCATTGGTGCTCAAATCTCATGTATTCATGCGTAATGGCGACAGAACATCATTGCCGCAATATTTGGAACCAATATCCCTCCGTGTTCTTCTTCAAAGGTAAACTTGATCTGCTTGCCTTCCTTGTGCACATTTCTACTTGTTTAATTAATTGAAGTACGTTAAAAAGTACTCCCTCTGTAAAGAAATATAAGAGCGTTTAGATCACTAAAGTAGTGATCTAAACGCTCTTATATTTCTTTACGGAGGGAGTATTTATTAATTTTTAGTGCTGGTCGAGTTTTAAAGTTTGTTAGCCCATTTTGAAAATGTTACTAAAAAAATCACAAACTAATTTAAATGTTCACACAATTTTCAAAACTATTCATGCATTATTACACAGTGATTTTTTTAATTTTCATAGGTGTCCTTGAATTTAATAAAAAATGTCCAAGTATTCAAAATTACTTCACTATTTCAACAAGTGTTCTTACCACTTTACCCTATTCCGAATAATGAAAATTATTTGATGGCTCGCCTATAAATAGAAGCTTCGGCGCAATCTCTATTTTGCGGGACAAGAAAGAAAGAGTAGTAACCATGGATACCGCTGCAAGAATTGCAATCATTCCTTACAGAATTCAAGATATAGAAAAAAATATTAAAAACTAGAGGAATGGATGTTTATATTTTATTAAAAAAGGGAACAAAAGTATAAATAGAAAAAAATAAAAAAAACATGGGACTTATTCAAATCAAAGCTCATCGTAATCTTGAACCAGTTTTGTGTTTCAATATAATTTCCAGGAGTAAGTGCTATAGCTAATACTCAGTAGGTTGTTCAAACCAAGCTTCCCCAATTTCTGAACCAGCCTATAGAATGGCATGTGCTCCTCGGTCGAAATAGGTAGTTCCTTCCTTTAGAACCTTAGTTGATAGTTTCCTACCTTAAACAGCTCAAAAATTGATATCTTCGTTTACCCTATATTAAGGAATTAGAATTATCAAAGGGAAGGAACTTCTTATACCTACCTCAAATAGGTCAGAAGGTGATTTGTCTGGTTTTCAAAGGTGTTCTTGCATTTTTATTAAAATGTTCATGTAGCCAAAATTTATTCAGTATTAAAAAAATGTTATTGCCTCTTTGCCACAGTTTAAATAATCAAAATTATTTGAACATATTTCTATTTTATAAACTGAAAAGGTAATAAAACAAAAACAAACAAAAAATGAAGAATGAAAAGAAATGAAACAGGAAAAGCGCTAAGAACTAATGTTATTAAATTATATATTATGTGGGTTTTTTTATTTTATCCCCACCCGCTATCATCTGTCCTTTTGTCCTTATGACTAGAGAGATGTGGTGAGCGGAGGATAGCTACCACTGTACTTGGGGAGGTCATTGTTGGGGTAGTATCTCGTGATGAAATAGTGCGGCAACGAGTCAGTCGACCAGCCAAGAAATAGGGAGGAAGGGGATACGCGAGGGAGGGAACGGTGAGCTAGGGGGTGTTTGTTTACAGGGACTTATTAGTGTAGAGACTTTAAAAAGTCTCTTTTAGTCCCATCTAAACCAAACAGGAGGGACTTAAATGGACTTAAAGTGGGCATTTGGGACTTATGAAAGAAGACACTGAGTGAGAGTCATTTTGGGACTTTTAGTTGTAACATGGTCTTTTAGTCGATGTTTAGTCCTAGGAACCAAACAGGTAGGGACTTTTTAGGGACTAGCGACTTTTTAATTGGGCCTAAAAAAGGTTCTAAGACTTATGAACCAAGCAGGACCTTAACATGAAAGGGTGGGGACCGATGACAGAAAAACTGATCGATACTCTTAATTTTATTATTTTCCAGGCAAATCATTAAGGTCCCTAAAAGAGGCAAGTGATTAATATTGCCCAAATTAGGGATAGAACAGCTTCTGGATGTCAGCTGGCTCCTACACCGGTGCATGCAGTACTTCCATTGGCTTCCAGTTCCAAGAGAAGTATATGATCGAGCTAATCATGTCCCACACTTAAGCTACTGCTGTAGACGTAAGGAACCAGGAGCAGCATAGTTTTTCTACTTTACGCTGGGAAAAGCCATTATATCTCCCATGCTTCCATCGAGTCACCAAACGTCCATATTGTTTGGCAAAGATGCGTGTCAGTTGGGCGCATGAATTGCTTTGGGGAGAACTGCCATCGCCATCTTGGGAGCCGAAAGGGCACGGCACTCTGGCACCACCATGCCCACCACCACCTGATCGCCGCCGTCTTGTTCCACCATGGCGGCCGCGGCGCATTCGTGTATGATGTCAAGCAGCACCGTCTCCAGGTCCTTGAAGTCGGCCCACCCGCGCACGCCTGCGCGGACGGCCCGCCGGTCGCCGGCAATGAGGTCCCACACGGGGTAGCCCTTCCTGGGCATCATGTAGTCCCGCTCGGCCAGCTTTAGGGTGGGGCAGTAGTCGCCCCTACCATCGCCGAGGTACACCACTCTACTCGGCCTCCTCATCCCTGCCGCCGCCGCCGCCGACAGTTCTTGCAGCATCCCCTCCATCACCTTGCCCTGATTTTTGCACACAAAAATGTTCAGGCAAAAAAAGATACAGTGAAATCTGAAAGTGTCTGATGCGTCACCTTGCACATGTTGGGAGGGCAGGTGGCGAGGGCGCAGCCGTGGCTGCTGCAGGAGCCATGACGGAAGTCGTGGTGCGGGGTGATCCTGAGGCGGCCGCCGGCGTCGACGCTGGCCGGGTTGGTGCTGATCTCCGAGAAGTAGCCGGCCAGGCCGTGGTGCGCAAGGACGGTGTGGATGAAAAACGCGTTGGCGTCGCTGAGGATACGCAGCTCGCAGCCGAGAGCCTGCGCGGCCTTGATGGCCGCCACGACATGATGGGACAGAGGCGCCGTCCTGATGCTGCCCGCGATCTCGTCGATCGTTTTGCCTTGCGAGTGCAACTCGCCCATCATGGCGTCCTTTTAAAAAAGAACGCAACAATTCCATCAAAAATCGCGGCCTTTCTTCGTTACGTGCGCACGCACTCCACGAAAATTTAAATATTTAGAGTGAAATACGCACTGCAGCTGCTGAGATTTGGTTTGCAAAAGGTCGTAAAGGGATATCTAAGACCAGAGCAATCATTATTGGAACGATTACCAGGTGCATTTGCGACAGAAAAAGGCATTACATACGGTACGATGCGAACAAACAGAGGCTTACGATGGCCGAGTTCCATGGGAGGTGGAGCAGGAGCTCGTCAAACCGCTGGGTGGCGCCGAGGGCGTCGACGACCCAGTTGTCGCTGTCGCAGTCGATGATGGTCTTGTCGAAGTCGAAGACGACCACCACGCCGGCGTCATTGCTCGCGGCCATTATTGCACCCCAGAGATATCTAACTCAACCAGAACCGAGAGAGCAATATGATGGTGCGTTGGAGTGGTCGGATCGAGGGACACGGCCGACGTATTTATAGCGGCGGGCGACCTCCGTAAGGCCATGAATCGGAATGGCGAACGGAAACTATTGCTAATGGAGTATGATTATTAGGCACGGCAGCGTCGTAATGCGCCGTGATGCCGTCCGCATTGCCGCGAGATCTGGCCTTTTTCCCCGCTTTCCACTCGCGCGGGTGGGTTAATTTTGGGAGGCGCACCAGCTAATTAATGGAGGCTGGATTTGATTACTAATTGCCAGGATTGTTCTTGGGAATATTCTGGGAGCGGGCGATCGAGTGTACTATGTGTGTTCCTTCACTTTTCCGCCACCGTTGCTTTCAAAAAAAAGAAACTTTTTCGGCCACCGCTTTTCAGGCGGTTATAACGGCTCCTGCGTGGCGCACTTGCCTTTTCCCTGGTTTCCCGGGAGAAGGAGACATACGTTGCCTGAGAGAGTAACAAGAAAGGACGCGGGAATGACCGAGGGGATGATAATTACGAACATTTTAGATGACAATTTACGTTGTGGGAGGATGACAATTTCTTCATAAACACATGACAATTTCTATGAAGAAGAGAAAAATTGCGGCAGGATTTGCTATCTCCCACCACGTAAACATGCCATAAAGAAAAGTTCGCTGGTCACCCTTTTCCTTGCTAAAGTTTGTCAGATATCATTATCGTAACAAGAAACGTCAGCTTAGGAGAGATCGTGAAGGGAACAGTAGTTCCCCTGAGCAAACCAAACCGTTCAATGGGAGGATCCCCTCAGCGCGAACACCCTTCTATTACGATAATAAACCAAATCTTACAAATCGAGCGTCAGTTTTTCTGCAGGTTCGAGCGAACGTCTCAGCAGCCGTTCGATTTCTCTCACGAATCTTGAAGCGGGGCTCCTTGTAACATCACAGGATGCATCTGTTTGCGCTGAAGGGTGTCGGGTGCGACCCTCCTTCGAATTGCATTTTTTTGCAGGCGTTGGGAGGTACCGGTAAACCATCCACTGATGGTTTTCATCAAGATTCGTGGGGAGCCAAACCCACACAAAATGTATTTGGTTGTATTGCGTTTGGTGTTCTGGTGTATTACCAATAACGTCATGTCGTTGTGGGGACAGCCGCGGTAAGTAAACTATATTTTACTGGCACCACACTAATTTACCCCATGACCCACTAGCCATTTACTCCCTCCTTTTCGGTTTATAGGGCTTATCTCAAAATTTTAGTTTTTCCATTTTATAAGGCTCAATTTGGTTGTTTCTTATCACATGTTCAGATTCCAAAGTGCATTAAATCATTGCATGTAAATATTGAGAGAAAATTGACCAATACATGTACTTTATGCATGCATGCATTGCAATTAATGCATTGATAAACATAATTTTTTAAGAAAAACAAGAGTATTAATTAGGTGCTTTTGCAAACTACAAAAAGTATTCCACCACTCACCATCTACCTTGGTTGGTGAGATTTTTGAATTGAGCCTTATAAACCGGAAAGGAGGGAGTACCTCCGTTCGGTTTCACTTGGTCTCTTACCTTCCGCCAACGCCTCACCGGAAACCATAGATCCAAATTGCGCTATAGTTGCCCGGGAGCCTCGCCGCTACGTTATGGCTGCTGCCGTGAAAACCTCCACATATCCCTCTAAATGGCTCAAAAATTAGTAAAGCCCTCCAGAAATCATCTCTCCCACGGTAAAATTTTTCGCTATTTGCCGTGATTGCCCGCTATGGCGCCGCTATAGCTGCTGGGAGAGGCCGCCGTGAAATCGTTTCTCCCGCGATTTTAATCTATGCCGGAAACCCTCTTCTCAGGTTGGTACCAGTTCTTCGAGAAATAATCATTTTATCTCTCTTCCTATTTTCTGCTTGGTTGACTCCCTCTGAGGTTTTCCTTTTTCTCTCTGACTTATTCTCGGCGTGAAATACGTGACTTCTTTTTCCTTTTCTCAACGCCGTTGAGTACCGAATCAACTAACGGAATCAAAGTTCTCAAACAATAATTCTCTGAGGCTAGTAGCCATGCGCAAGTTCTTTTCGGTATATTTATATTTTGACAATAAATTACCGCATCCGGATGTTTGTTAAATGTTAGAACCCTAGAACTCAATTCCCATGCATTCTAGCCCAAACCTTAGTGTATTTTTTTTGGTCATATTCAATATTAATTAGTCTATGTTTCAATTTCTGGGTTAAATGTATATTTGTGACGCCCGGATAATCAGGCTATAGTAATCCCCCGTTAACGATGCCACGTCACCTCCGTTACTGTTGCTTATCTCTCGTTAGCTCCAAAATCGGTTCAAAAATCAAATTCAAATTATGGCAAACAACAAAAGTTTTCAAACGTTGAAACTAAAATGTTCGGAGTGAACCAAATAATTCATAGGAAATTATGGTGGAGAAACCACCCTTTTATAAAATGTTTAAATACTCAAATGTGACTCAAACAGCAACATAACCAATTTAATAAATGCCTTTTATTATTTATAAAATGTTAAACTATTTTATTTAGTTACCCAAATTAATGTGGTAGTAATAAATATAGTAATACTAATTTAGAAACCATTTGTGTATTTTATAAAACTGTAACCATTAAAGAAATAAAAGAAAACAGAAAAGAAAGTAAATAAAAAGGTAAAAGATAAAACAGACAAAAACAAAAGGACACCCCCCCTCAATGGGCTTCGGCCCAGCAGGCCAGCAGGCCG